TTATTTTGCATTGTATATTACTCTTACCTTTTAATAATTTATAAATCATACAATCTTAAGCCTAGTTAGTGTTTCTGTAAGTAGAGAAAAACAATTTAAGAATATTTAGAACTACCTACTCCAGACACGACTCTCTATATCCTCAGTAGTGTATAAGCTGTATTTTGCAAGAATCTTCATCAGTTTTGTTCATCATTGTATTCTAGCACCTAGAATAGTAAACAGTACAAGTAGATGGTTGCTAGTAATTACAAAGGAATCCAAAGACTATCCTCATACACAGGAAATATAAATCACTTCAATGTAAAATCACAATTTCATAAAATTTGCAGCTGAATTCACAGTGTTTCTTAAAATCTAAATCCTTATTTCTAATAAGTACAAGAGTGAATTAAAAGTATTGCTATAAATGCATAGAATCCTTTACCATACAAACATCAAAATGGAAAGCTATTTTTCTGGCATAACCTTGATCTAGACCTGTGCACTAATGAATGTAGCTCCTAGACCCTTCCGCAAACAATTTTGTACTCTGATTTGATTATAATGGTAATTTTAGCATCTTCTAGGGCATAGGCTCCCAAACTTATTTTGGCATACTGCCCCCTTTTCAGAAAAGAAAATAGATTATTCAGTGCCACCGTGGCAATTAAAAATCTGTAATCCAAAATAAAAGTCGGTATGTGCTTCGGAAACCTTCTCAAAGCCAGACCCATTATCACTGGCATTGGGAGACACTGCTCTAGGGGTTTAAATCACACTCCTTGAAGGGACAAGTTCAGGGCTATACTTGGGGAGGGACAATCTTCCTTGAGGGCTTGCTGGGCGTGTCCTTCATGGAGAACACCGTATGGGGTTTGCATAGACATGATTCATGTCCTGACTACTTTCCAGAAGTCCATGCACCAACCAATCTAAGCTCCTCTGTGTACCACAATGCTCATACCCCAGTGATGACCCGTTCTCCCTCGAGTAGTCCTACGTGTAACTGATGCTTTCATTTGCCACTTCCTATACATGTGTGACAGTTTTCTTTCACCTCCCATGCCCTTACTAAGTTTTGTATCAGCAAACCCTTTGATACCACTCTGACACTTTGCCAATAGTCTCCCCCATCTGGATAATACTGTGTGTTTGTTTTTGCCTTCCTCTCATCCTGTTTAAGACGATAGTAAATGTTCTATGAGTGAACGAATATGGGCGTTTAATAAACTACATAAAACTTTTTCGTAGGAAGTTCCTATGATCTTCTGTCCTTCACGAAAAAGCTATGAAGATTATCCCCCTTGTGATCTCAAAATTCATTGTCATCAGTTGAATTCTGACTCACGGGGACCCGATAGGACAGAGTAGAAACCCCTCTGGATTTCTGAGGCTGTAAATCATTTGGGGGATCAGGAAACCCCATCTTTTCCCCACAGATCAGCTGGTGGAACTGCTGGCCCTGTCTTTAACAGCACAACTTGTAACCCACTCGATAACATCTCCATGAAATCCTAACAAGCAGACCTGTTGTCTTCTGAGCTGTCTTTTCTACCATAAATCTAATACTCATCCCCACTTACAATTAGTTTTATAAAATCAATGTCACTCAGCTCTTACTTAAAATAAGATCAGCTCTTTGAGCTAGCTGATCATAAAACGCTTTTGACACCCATTGAGCTGAATGCTGAGTTCAAGATAATAGCTTAAAATAAAAATGCCAAGCCGTGTGAGGTCTCAAGGGCAGTAGCTGTTGTCATCAATGGCAGTTCTTTGGTCTTTTTCTACTAGTTTCCACATTTCAGTTTCTTCCTTTATCAAGTTTGATGGTCTTTGAAGTCTTTTTGACTTTTCTTAAAATGCTTGCTTGATCTAAAAATTGTTACTTCTTTGTGTGGGCCAAGTTATGTAAGCTTGTAATGATTTGGGAAGATGTCCCTTTGAAATTTGCAAAAAATTGT